ACACACTCACTCACACACTCACTCACTCACTCACTCACTCACTCACTCACTCACACACACACACAGAGACAGACTCACTCACTCACTCACACACTCACTCACTCACTCACTCACACACTCACTCACTCACACACTCACACACTCACACACACTCACACACACAGAGACACACTCACTCACACACTCACTCACTCACTCACTCACTCACTCACTCACACACTCACACACACTCACACACACAGAGACAGACTCACTCACACACTCACTCACTCACACACTCACACACACAGAGACAGACTCACTCACTCACTCACTCACTCACTCACACACTCACACACTCACACACTCACACACTCACACACTCACTCACTCACTCACTCACTCACTCACTCACTCACTCACTCACTCACACACTCACACACTCACTCACACTCACACACACTCTCACACACACAGAGACAGACTCACTCACTCACTCACTCACTCACTCACACACTCACACACTCACACACTCACTCACTCACTCACTCACTCACTCACTCACTCACTCACTCACTCACTCACTCACTCACTCACTCACACACACTCACACACACAGAGACAGACTCACTCACTCACTCACTCACTCACTCACTCACACACTCACTCACACACTCACTCACTCACTCACTCACACACTCACTCACTCACTCTCACTCACTCACACACTCACACACACTCACACACACAGAGACAGACTCACTCACTCACTCACTCACTCACACACTCACACACTCACTCACTCACTCACTCACTCACTCACTCACTCACTCACTCACTCACTCACACACTCACACACACTCACACACACAGAGACAGACTCACTCACTCACTCACTCACTCACTCACACACTCACTCACTCACTCACACACTCACACACTCACACACACTCACACACACAGAGACAGACTCACTCACTCACACACTCACACACACTCACACACACAGAGACACACTCACTCACTCACTCACTCACTCACTCACTCACTCACTCACTCACACACACACACACACAGAGACAGACTCACTCACTCACTCACTCACTCACTCACTCACACACTCACACACACAGAGACAGACTCACTCACTCACTCACTCACTCACTCACTCACTCACTCACTCACACACTCACACACACTCACACACACAGAGACAGACTCACTCACTCACTCACTCACTCACTCACTCACTCACACACACACTCACTCACTCACTCACACACTCACACACACTCACACACACAGAGACAGACTCACTCACTCACTCACACACACTCACACACACAGAGACAGACTCACTCACTCACACACTCACACACACTCACACACACAGAGACACACTCACTCTCTCACTCACTCACTCACTCACTCACTCACTCACACACACAGAGACAGACTCACTCACTCACACTCACTCACTCACTCACACACTCACTCACTCACTCACTCACTCACTCACTCACTCACTCACACACACAGAGACAGACTCACTCACTCACTCTCACTCACTCTCACTCTCACTCACTCACACACTCACACACACTCACACACTCACACACACTCACACACACAGAGACAGACTCACTCACTCACTCACTCACTCACTCACTCACACACTCACTCACTCACTCACTCACACACACAGAGACAGACTCACTCACTCACTCACTCACTCACACACTCACTCACACACTCACACACTCACTCACTCACTCACACACTCACTCACTCACTCACTCACTCACTCACACACACACACACACTCACTCACTCACTCACTCACTCACTCACTCACTCACTCACTCACACACACAGAGACAGACTCACTCACTCACTCTCACTCTCACTCACTCACACACTCACACACACTCACACACTCACACACACTCACACACACAGAGACAGACTCACTCACTCACTCACACACTCACTCACTCACACACTCACACACACTCACACACACAGAGACAGACTCACTCACTCACTCACACACTCACTCACACACTCACTCACTCACTCACACACTCACTCACTCACTCACTCACACACACACTCACTCACTCACTCACTCACACACACAGAGACAGACTCACTCACTCACTCACACACTCACTCACTCACACACTCACACACACTCACACACACAGAGACAGACTCACTCACTCACTCACACACTCACTCACACACTCACTCACTCACTCACACACTCACTCACTCACACACTCACACACACTCACACACTCACACACACTCACACACACAGAGACAGACTCACTCACTCACTCACTCACACACACACTCACTCACTCACTCACTCACACACTCACACACACTCACACACACAGAGACAGACTCACTCACACACTCACTCACACACTCACTCACTCACTCACTCACTCACTCACTCACTCACACACACACACAGAGACAGACTCACTCACTCACTCACACACTCACTCACTCACTCACTCACACACTCACTCACTCACACACTCACACACTCACACACACTCACACACACAGAGACACACTCACTCACACACTCACTCACTCACTCACTCACTCACACACTCACACACACTCACACACACAGAGACAGACTCACTCACACACTCACTCACTCACACACTCACACACACAGAGACAGACTCACTCACTCACTCACTCACACACTCACACACTCACACACTCACTCACTCACTCACTCACTCACTCACTCACTCACTCACTCACTCACTCACTCACACACTCACACACTCACTCACTCACTCACTCACTCACTCACTCACTCACTCACTCACTCACACTCACACACACTCACTCACTCACTCACTCACTCACTCACTCACTCACTCACTCACACACTCACTCACACTCACACACACTCACTCACTCACTCACTCACTCACTCACTCACTCACTCACTCACTCACTCACTCACTCACTCACTCACTCACTCACTCACTCACTCACTCACACAGAGACAGACAGACACACACACACACTCACACACACAGAGACAGACACACACACACTCACTCACTCACTCACAGACACACACACTTATTCTGAACACGATCCGGGCCGGCCACTTAGACAGGAATCAAAGCTTCCAGCCAATCAGATTAGAGCCTCTCATTTTAAAGCGGCCTTTATGCACTGCACTGTGTTTTCAGGCTCTACTAGAACAGCTTTTCCTGCTTGAATGTTGATTATTCTCCTCATATTCTCCATTGTTGCGGCTCCTCTCTCCCCAGTCTGTCAGTAACCATAGACATAATAAATACATAGACGCCCTATTGGCCGCTGGATCGTACGTCACCGGCGCCGCCATATTGCGTAGGGCAACTTTCCCATAACTCTCGTACCGGGGACTGAGGAAGTGTGTGCTGCGTGTGTGTGCTGATGTGCACATCGCCACAGTGGAACCCGGTCTCGGGGAATTACCTTTCACAAGCAAGACTGAACATTCGTTTCCGGTGTATTTGGTCATGATATAACTAGTAATAGTAACGCTAGTTGGCCACCGGCGTCAGTCAGACTGAAATAGCTAGCGATAAATAAATGACTGTGTGACAGGATGTCCGTCTGTAGACACGCCCGATGCGGAGTAAGCCTTACCCAGGTTGTTTTTTTTAACAAATATTGTATTATAACTTGGGCAATAGTATTTAAAAGTGCACTGAATATTCCCACATGCTTATAGCCTATAGCATTATACAGTGATCCAGTGGAAAATTAAACCATTCATTTTTACATCTTATGTTTTCCATTAATTTTTAGTTAAAGTTTTCAGATTTTTTTTGTGTGTGTTTTGTCATTTTAATTATTTTAGCAAATTTTTTATTTATTTTTAATATAGACAAAATTTGAGAAATATAGACAAAAATATAGATATCGATTTGACAGCACTAATATGTATATATATAAACACATTAGTGCTGTCAAATCGATTAATAGCTAATTATTATTGTTATAATATTATACCACTTGCGATTATCAATCTATTATAGTCAGTATTTAACTTTTTTTTTTTTTATTGTCTATATTCTGTAATTTATATTTCATATTATTATAGTATTATACATAAACTATAAGCTATTATCACAATATTATTATTACATTATTGTACTTATGATGATATATAATTATACTATTCATTACTATTTTATTTGCCTGTATACTGTTTATTTATTTTATTGACTAAACACTAAATTATTTACTTTTACTTCTCACTTTATCTTATATTTACTATTTGGATTGTACCATATCATATGCATTACCATAAAGGATCCATCAGTTATCTTTGTAATTGTATATTTGCAGTATCTATCTGTAAATATCTATAATTTTATTTTTAGTGCTGTAAAAATACAGAAAGCACGAGCCGGTGTGATTAGTATTTGCTGATTTGTTTCAGTTTCTGGATGGCGGTCGATTCTACGCACAAGAAAAGCTCAAATCGGGTTAAAGACAGAAAATGCTTTTTCCACAATAAGAAAACTTGATTTAATTTAATATGAAAGTTAAATTATATCACGGGGGTCTTAACAATTCTTATCCAAGAATAAAAGCCAGATAGCCTACATGACAAGCCTGAGCTGTGACAACTCCTTATTAAAAAATATATTTTATAAGTCTAACTATCGAGGTTTTATATAACTAGAGATGGAACTTTTTGTACACCGCGTACAAACCACTGAAACCAGTTGATAAATGTAAACGTAAACATTGGGAATGCCCCGCCCCTTTCCATAACCGCCAGTTTAACACACTACTAACTAACTCAACCAGGCCCCGCCCCTTTATCCTGCGTATGAATTATTATAATGAGGAATATTGTGACGTGTTCGTTCCCGGAAGAAACTCAAGACTACAATGGATTTTACTCTCTTTAATACTTTGATTGTGTGTGTGTGTGTGTGTGTGTGTGTGTGTGTGTGTGTGTGTGTGTGTCTCAGATGACGTCATGTGTCTGGAGAGTCCGGTGTACCTTCGGTGTGACAGTGAGGAGCCGCAGCAAACGGAGCCTTTGGTTGGAGGACGCTGGTCATCTGACACGCTCAAAGTCCTGTCCTCCATGCCCAGCCGCACCATCGGTCAGTGTGTGTGTGTGTGTGTGTGTGTGTGTGTGATGGGTAGATTTAGGGGTAGGGTTAGTGTGTGTGTGTGTGATGGGTAGATTTAGGGGTAGGGTTAGTGTGTGTGTGTGCGATGGGTAGGTTTAGGGGTAGGGTTAGTGTGTGTGTGTGTGTGTGATGGGTAGATTTACGGGTAGTGTGTGTGTGTGTGTGATAGGTAGATTTAGGGGTAGTGTGTGTGTGTGTGATAGGTAGATTTACGGGTAGTGTGTGTGTGTGTGATAGGTAGATTTAGGGGTAGTGTGTGTTTGTGTTTGTAATGAGTAGGTTTAGGGGTAGGGTTAGTGTGTGTGTGTGTGTGATAGGTAGATTTACGGGTAGTGTGTGTGTGTGTGTGATAGGTAGATTTAGGGGTAGTGTGTGTTTGTGTTTGTAATAAGTAGGTTTAGGGGTAATGTTAGTGTGTGTGTGTGTGTGATGGTTAGGCTTAGGGGTAGGGTTAGTGTGTGTGTGTGTGTGTGTGTGTGTGTGTGTGTGTGTGTGTGTGTGTGTGTGTGTGTGTGTGTGTGATGGGTAGGTTTAGGGGTTAGGTTAGTGTGTGTGTGTGATGGGTAGATTTAGGGGTAGTGTGTGTGTTTGTGTTTGTAATGGGTAGGGTTAGTGTGTGTGATGGGTAGGTTTAGGGTTAGTGTGTGTGTGTGTGTGATGGGTTAGCTTAGTGTAAGGGGACAGAATATACAGTTTGTACAGTATAAAAACTATTGCGTCTATGGAATGTCCTCACAAGTATCAAAATAAACCTGTTTGTGTGTCTCTGTGTGTGTGTCTCTGTGTGTGTGTGTGTGTGTGTGTCTCTGTGTGTCTGTCTGTCTGTCTGTCTGTCTGTCTGTGTCTGTCTGTGTGTGTCTGTCTGTGTGTGTGTGTGTGTGTGTCTGTCTCTGTGTGTCTGTGTGTGTGTGTGTGTGTGTGTGTGTGTGTGTCTCTGTGTGTCTGTGTGTGTCTCTCTGTGTGTGTGTGTCTCTGTGCCTCTGTGTGTGTGTGTGTGTGTGTGTGTGTGTGTGTCTCTGTGTGTCTGTGTGTGTCTCTCTGTGTGTGTGTGTCTCTGTGCCTCTGTGTGTGTGTGTGTGTGTGTGTGTGTGTGTGTGTGTGTCTCTGTGCCTCTGTGTGTGTGTGTGTGTGTGTGTGTGTGTGTGTGTGTGTGTGTGTGTGTCTCTCTGTGCCTCTGTGTGTGTGTGTGTGTGTGTGTGTGTGTGTGTGTGTCTCTGTGCCTCTGTGTGTGTGTGTCTCTGTGCCTCTGTTTGTGTGTGTGTGTGTGTGTGTGTGTGTGTGTGCAGGCCGCAGTCGAGGCGCGATCATCTCTCAGTATTATAACCGGACCCTTCAGCTGCGCAGACGCAGACAGAGCCGGCCCTCGATCCAGCACTTCCCGCGCTCCGCCAGACCCAGCATCCGCGGACACCGCGTGGAGACCGACGCGGACGAGCACGAGGAGAACGGTGAGCGCGCCGACACACAGTCGACTCAGACAGTCCAGTTCGGAATAATTAAGATATTTAAAAAGAGCCTCTCCTCCTCACCCAAGTTTATTTAATCAAAAATACCGTAAATGACCAGTTTTGAAAATGTTGAAAACGGTTGCGCTGCTTCAGACACAATAGATTTATGTAAATTGATCATTAAAGACATTTATGTTATAAAATATTCTGATTCTTTTGAACACTCTATTCATCAAATAATCCTGAAAAATAAAATGTGAACACTCTATTCATCAAATAATCCTGAAAAATAAAATGTATCCGTTTCCAACACTGATAATAATCATAAATGTGTCTTGATCATCAGATCCTCATATTAGAGTGATTTCTGAAGGATCATGTGACACTGAAGACTGGAGTAATGATGCTGAAACTCAGCTTTGATCACAGGAATAAATTACACTTTACTGTATATTCACATAGAGAACAGCTGATTTACACTGGAGTAATATTACACTGTTTTACTGTATTTATGATCAAATAAACGCAGCCTTGGTGAACAGAAGAGACTTTCAGTAACATTAAAAATCTTAATTATTTTGACCAGTATTGTATGATCTTTTCTATGTGCTCATCTTGTACTCTGACTCTTTTGTGTGTGTGTGTGTGTGTGTGTGTGTGTGTGTGTGTGTAGACAATAAGAGGGAGCGTTTAGTGAATAATCTGCAGAATCTGTCGGCGAGTGATCGTGTGCGAATGTTGAGAGCGATGCCACTGAGTCTCGCAGAGAAGAAAGAGCTCAGGTAAATAACACACACACACACTCTCTCTCTCTCTCTCTCTCTCTCTCTCTCTCTCACACACACACACACACACACACACACTCTCTCTCTCTCTCTCTCACACACACACACACACACACACACACACACACACACACACACACACTCTCTCTCTCTCTCTCTCTCTCTCTCTCTCTCTCTCTCTCTCTCTCACACTCTCTCTCTCACACACACACACACACACACACACACACACTCTCTCTCTCTCTCTCTCTCTCTCTCTCTCTCTCACACACACACACACACACACACACTCTCTCTCTCTCTCTCTCTCTCTCTCTCTCTCTCTCTCTCTCTCACACACACACACTCTCTCTCTCTCTCTCTCACACACACACACACACACACACACACACTCTCTCTCTCTCTCTCTCTCTCTCTCTCTCACACACACACACACACACACACACACACCGTATTCAACAGAGCCGTGTTCATTAGGTCTCGTAGCGCTACAGCAAAATAAACATTTAATCGAGAATGAATAGAATGTAGTGCAACACAAACTTACACTTTTATGTATTTCACAGATGCTTTTATCCAAAGCGACTTACAAAAGAGGAATATTTGTAATATTAAATAATGCAAAGACAATAAATGGACACAAACGGTCTCCTATGAGCTGGTTCTGTTTCATGAAAGGTTCAAAAGACTCACTTAATGAATGAATCACTTAATGAATCTGTTAGTGAATCACTTCATAAAAGAGTTTTGTTGTAATACATGTTGTAAAACCAGGATTGTTTTGCTTGGTACACAGTTAATTTATCAGATTGCAAAAACTAATTTATGTTGGAAACATTCTTGTTTCCTGAAGTCTTGTTTCTCTTCCGATGTTTTGTGTTTTTCAGGATGTTGGTGTTGAATAAAGCCGAACACTCTCTGTCCCAGAATCAGATTCCCTGCTGCAGTCAGCTCAAGTATTACATCATCATCGTGAGTCATAACACGCGCATGACATCATCATCATCGTGAGTCATAACACGCGCATGACATCATCATCGTGAGTCATAACACGCGCATGACATCATCATCATCGTGAGTCATAACACACGCATGACATCATCATCATCGTGAGTCATAACACGCGCATGACATCATCATCATCATCGTGAGTCATAACACGCGCATGACATCATCATCGTGAGTCATAACACGCGCATGACATCATCATCATCGTGAGTCATAGCACACGCATGACATCATCATCATCGTGAGTCATAACACACGCATATCATCATCATCGTGAGTCATAACACACGCATGACATCATCATCGTGAGTCATAACACACGCATGACATCATCATCGTGAGTCATAACACACGCATGACATCATCATCATCGTGAGTCATAACACACGCATGACATCATCATCATCGTGAGTCATAACACGCGCATGACATCATCATCATCGTGAGTCATAGCACACGCATGACATCATCATCATCGTGAGTCATAACACACGCATGACATCATCATCATCGTGAGTCATAACACACGCATATCATCATCATCGTGAGTCATAACACACGCATATCATCATCATCGTGAGTCATAACACGCGCATGACATCATCATCATCGTGAGTCATAGCACACGCATGACATCATCATCATCGTGAGTCATAGCACACGCATGACATCATCATCATCGTGAGTCATAACACACGCATATCATCATCATCGTGAGTCATAACACACGCATGACATCATCATCGTGAGTCATAACACACGCATGACATCATCATCATCGTGAGTCATAACACGCGCATGACATCATCATCATCGTGAGTCATAACACGCGCATGACATCATCATCATCGTGAGTCATAACACACGCATGACATCATCATCATCGTGAGTCATAACACGCGCATGACATCATCATCATCGTGAGTCATAGCACACGCATGACATCATCATCATCGTGAGTCATAACACACGCATATCATCATCATCGTGAGTCATAACACACGCATGACATCATCATTGTGAGTCATAACACACGCATGACATCATCATCGTGAGTCATAACACACGCATGACATCATCATCATCATCGTGAGTCATAACACACGCATGACATCATCATCATCGTGAGTCATAACACACGCATGACATCATCATCGTGAGTCATAACACACGCATGACATCATCATCGTGAGTCATAACACACGCATGACATCATCATCATCGTGAGTCATAACACGCGCATGACATCATCATCATCGTGAGTCATAACACGCGCATGACATCATCATCATCGTGAGTCATAACACACGCATGACATCATCATCATCGTGAGTCATAACACGCGCATGACATCATCATCATCGTGAGTCATAGCACACGCATGACATCATCATCATCGTGAGTCATAACACACGCATATCATCATCATCGTGAGTCATAACACACGCATGACATCATCATTGTGAGTCATAACACACGCATGACATCATCATCGTGAGTCATAACACACGCATGACATCATCATCATCATCGTGAGTCATAACACACGCATGACATCATCATCATCGTGAGTCATAACACACGCATGACATCATCATCGTGAGTCATAACACACGCATGACATCATCAGCGTGAGTCATAACACACGCATGACATCATCATCGTGAGTCATAGCACACGCATGACATCATCACGCATCATCACAGGGGCTCGTGCGTATGATCGGAAGGGCATATTGCTGAGCTACATCGCTCTGTTTCTTTCGTATCAACTTGTTCTTCCATTTCCAGAGCGACGAATGAACCAGATGTGATTTTAACCTTCGTTTTTAGCAGATTTTACACAAAATTGGAATCAAAAACTATGTAGATGACAACAAAGTTGCATATTACTCTTTAAAAATTTATTAAATTGTAAAATATGGTATGTGAGACCGCATGCAAGACATTTTTAAAGAGGACTTATCATGCCCTTGTACAAAGTCTTGATGTTGTTTTGGGGGTTTTATGCTTGAATGGTTATTATTTTCCCCATATTTGACAATTGTTTGTGTTTGTGTGTGTGTGTGTGTAAGAGAGAGAAAGGGAGTGTGTGTGTGTGAGAGAGAGAGAAAGGGAGTGTGTGTGTGAGAGAGAGAGAGAGTGAGCGAGCGAGTGAGTGAGAGTAAATGTGAGTGAGTGAGTGAGTGAGTGAGTGAGTGAGTGAGTGAGTGAGTGAGTGAGTGAGTGAGTGAGTGAGTGAGTGAGTGAGTGAGTGAGTGAGTGAGTGAGTGAGTGAGTGAGTGAGTGAGTGAGTGAGTGAGTGAGTGAGTGAGTGAGTGAGTGAGTGAGTGAGTGAGTGAGTGAGTGAGCGAGTGAGTGAGTGTGAGCGAGTGAGTGAGCGAGTGAGTGAGTGAGTAAATGTGAGGGAGGGAGTGTGTGTGTGTGTGTGTGTGAGAGAGAGAGAGAGAGAAAGGGAGTGTGTGTGTGTGTGTGAGAGAGAGAGAGTGAGAAAGGAAGGAAGTGTGTGTGTGTGTGTGCAGTCATGTAGGTCAGGCTGTGTCAGCAGTCATGTGCTCTTGCAGCACAGGTGTGAAGTGTGTGTGTGAGAGAGAGAGAAAGGGAGTGTGTGTGTGTGTGTGTGTGTGTGTGTGTGAGTGGGAGAGAGAGAGAGAGAGAGAGAGAGAGAGAAAGGGAGTGTGTGTGTGTGTGTGTGTGTGTGTGTGTGTGTGTGTGTGTGTGTGTGTGTGTGTGTGTGTGTGTGTGTGTGTGTGTGTGTGTGTGTGTGTGAGAGTGAGCGAGCGAGTGAGTAAATGTGAGGGAGGGAGTGTGTGTGTGTGTGAGAGAGAGAGAGAGAGAGAGAGAGAGAAAGGGAGTGTGTGTGTGTGTGTGAGAGAGAGAGAGTGAGAAAGGAAGGAAGTGTGTGTGTGTGTGTGCAGTCATGTAGGTCAGGGTGTGTCAGCAGTCATGTGCTCTTGCAGCACAGGTGTGAAGTGTGTGTGTGAGAGAGAGAGAAAGGGAGTGTGTGTGTGTGTGTGTCAGCAGTCGTGTCCTCTTGCACCACAGGCGTGAAGTGTGTCAAAGTGTGATCATGTTTGTTTTGAAGGCTTTCTTACTTCTCTGTTTCAGACACGAGGAAACAGCTGAACTTTAGTATGAAGCTAATAATACACACTCAGTTTCAGTGTTGCTTTATTGGCACCACACACAACTGAACATTTGCATTAAAGTGAGATATGGTGCAAAATAAGTTAATTCAAGTTAAGGAACCAACGAAGGAAGTAAATCTAATTGTTATCATTAAGAAGGATAAACTAAAGATGAATATTACAACTAAATATGCAAAATATTAACATCAGCATAAATTTAGAGATTGTGTAATTTTTTTGAGTTTCTCAAGGATCCAAGAACCAAATGTTGTGTTTGTACTGATTTTTTTATGATTATTTTTCTGTAATCATACATGGACTAGCTTAAGCCTTGTCTGTGAGACGGGCGGATAATGGTTTTTGTTGTAGCGCCCCCTATTGGCGGAATCTTACGACATTTGGTGTGTGTCCTCAGAACGTCCTGTTGTCTTTGTGTGTCAAGTTTCGTTACGCTTGGATATTGCGTTCGGCAGATATAGGCCGATTCGTAAAAATTGTAAAAAATTAATTAACTTATAAACATAAATAAAATCTGTCATGGTTTTCAACACTGATAATAATCACTCTCTCTCTCACTCTCTATCACTCTCTCTCTCTCTATCACTCTCTATCACTCTCTCTCTCTCTCTCTATCACTCTCTATCACTCTCTATCACTCTCTATCACTCTCTCTCTCTCTATCACTCTCTATCACTCTCTATCACTCTCTCTCTCTCTATCACTCTCTATCACTCTCTATCACTCTCTCTCTCTCTCTCTCTCTGGTGCATGCTGGGAATTGGGAAGGGATTGCATGGGAGGGTGATCTAGGTGAGAGGACCTTTTCAATTTTTCACTATTTCTTGCTTTTTTCTTGTATTCGATTATTTTAATTGAAAAAGGAAAAAAAGTTTTAATAAAAAAAAAAAAAAAAAAAAAAAAAAAAAACTGAGTTTGTTTTCCGCGAGAGTTGTCTCGTGTCGGAGGTAGGGATGGCGTCTCACACTCACGCGAGTGTGCAGGCGTCAGGCCTGTCGCTCCGGCATGGGATTAGGTGTGTGACCCAGGCAGGTGTGCCTGTAGAGGATGTGTTACTGGACGTGGCAGAGCGCGTGGGCCATGAGAATATCATTTCGGCGTCTCGGATGAACAAGGCCGTAGTGGTATTTTTGAAGGAAGAAAATCTGGTTCATGGTTTGATCGAGAGCGGGATATCGGTAAGTGGCACATTTGTTTCTGTTCAACCCTTAGTTTCAATCACGACGAAGGTGACGGTTTCCAACGTTCCGACTTTTATTCCCGATGCCGACATTGAGCGAGAGCTTTCTCGATTTGGGAAACTTGCCAGTGGAATTAGAACGGTTTCACTTGGTTGTAAGAATGCCGCTTTAAAGCATGTGTTGTCATTTAGGCGACAGGTGTATATGTTTCTAAAAGAACCGACGCTGAATATCTCTTTTCGATGTGTTTTTGAGGGCAAGTCGTACATGATGTACGCGAGCACGGGAGAAATGCGGTGTTTTGATTGCGGGAGTATTGGACATGTCAGGCTGTCTTGTCCTCATCGAGTTGAACTAGAGAATGAAGCAGGCCCTAGCAATACTTCAGATAAGAGGAATGAAAATGAAGTACAAAAGAGTAGTGTACCAAATGAAGCAGCAGTGGTGAATAATGAGGTTCAGAATGTGGATTCAAATTTGAAGGAAGGAATGATAGTAGAAGATCCATCCACTAATAATGAAAAAGATACAGAGGAAGCTTCTGGTAGTAAGACAAAACAGGGAAAAATGAAGAGAGTTAATGTTGTAACTGATGTGGCTGTTGAGAGAAGCACTGTGGTACAAGGGTCTGGACAGAG